ACTACAAAACTGCTATCTCGGATTTTTAAAATTTTTGGATTTTGACCCCCAAAAATCAAAAAATAAGTTTTTTAGATATAATAATCGAAAAATCCAAAAAGTTTTTTGAATTTCGCAAAAACCGGAATATATGTGATAGTTCTTACCGCCTTCCATCCACATACCAAATTTCAGATTGATACCTCTTTTTTTGGCGAAGTTATAGCGAAAAAACTGTTCAAAATTGATGACGTCAAATTTTCAAACTCAATTTTTAGCAATTCTAGACCCCGTAGCGCAAAACAAAGACCACCATTAGACTCCCCGTGACGAGCTGCATCGAATCAATAACCATTTTATGCAAAACTATCAACTTTAAAAATTGACCTTTTTTGGCCTGACCTTGACCTGACCTTAACCTGAACTTCACCAGAAGGTGACCTAAGCCGTACCTGATAGTCTTATAACCAACACCATTGAGTTGGAAATGAAAAATTGGCCATAAAACATGCATCACACAACCTTGGTAAAGTTGGGCTCATGTGACCTGACTTGTGACCCTTGGTGACCTGACCTGTGACCTGACCTTGTATTGTTAGTGACCTCTAATAGCAAAATATATACTGGGCAACTGACGCCCTATCGCTGATTCTCGACAAAATGCGTTTTCCTCGGTGTTATAGCGCATTCCCTAGAAGACCCGTGAACGGTGAAACATTTCATCTTTGACCTGACCTGTGACGTCATCGGTGACCCCGAGGTCAATGAAATTTGGTTTCCCTCAACAAATTTGACAGGCCTTTCGAACACCGTTTGAATTTTGCGGATCCGTCCAGTAGTTTCGGAGATACGAGGGGGGCAAAAAATAGCCCCCCCCCCCACCAGGTCGCGTTATAAACAGACCCCACAGGGCGCGGGTTAACCCTATTCCTGGCGGGCTCCGCGGGGACAAGAAACTGGCGGGGGGGGGGCCGATTCGGCCCCCCCCCCCTGAGATCTCGAGAACGAAGCAAGATAGCGACAAGCGGTAAACGGCATCGGATACGCACGACCAAGATCTACAATTTTTACTAAGGTCATTTTCAGGTCAGGTCAAAGATGACGTCACAGGGGTCGAAAAAGTCAAAATGGCGGCGCTAGATATGGAGAGAGTTTTTCTCGAATAACTTTCGAATTAGTCAAGATAGGAACAAACTAAGGGCATCATCGTGATCCTCTCGTCAATCCGCATCGAATGATATATATGGTGACCTCGAAAGGTCAAGGTCAAAGGTTGACCTCAGGTCACGTGACCTCGAGGTCATCATGTATAGCATTCGATGCGTCTTGACGAGCTGAACACAATGAGACCATCCACGCGTCTGTATCTTGTTCCTGTACGGAGTTATTGGCCAAAAACCTTTGGTGACCTTTGATGACGTCACATGACCTCACAGCTGCCCAACAGCAAAACAGACCTCAAGGTAGTGAAGGTTGATCGTATATGAAGTCATGTATGGTATATGGGGCCATTCCGACCCGTTTTAGTGGTAAAAACAGGGAGTTGATTTTCCCCCCATTGACTTATAATGGGGAGGTCGCGAAATTGACCTGACCTTAGGTCATCGATATCAAAATTCCGAGATATACAAATTGCACATACTGGTACCCTAACTAAACCCTGAAGAGAAGAAATTGATCGGTCAAAAACTCTAGCTCTGGCGTGATTGCAAACTTTTCTGAGGTAGGGTCACCAAACCGCCTCTGGTGACCTGACCTGAGGTCAGATCAACTCAAAATTTTCAGACATGTTGCGTAGAAGCCTTTTAGGAAAAGTCAGAAAATTTGAGCTTCCTAGCTCAACGCGTTTGGGAGAAATAACCAAAAAACCTCAGGGGGGGGGGGGCTCCTGAGGCCCCCCCCCGCCAGGAATAGGGTTAAGGCCTGACTGCACATGATGCGTTTTCTGTGTGCGTTTTTTTTGCGAGTTTGCGTGATTTGCGGAATATCGTTCTAGAAAGAAACGACATTAGGTACGTTTTTGTTATATGTTTTTCATATAAACTTATAATTGATATAAACGTTTTCTTAATTTTTATATCAATATTAAAGAAGTTAGATCAATACCTAATAACCTTTTTTCTACGATATTACGCAAAACACGCAAACTAGCAAAAAAAAAACGCATGCAGAAAACTCATAGTGTAGCCAGGTTTTGAGAGTCTTGAAAGAAACACACTGAACCTAATTTGACCAAATCTGCACCAAAGCTGCACCTGATCTGCACTAGGTAAATGTGTACCATATGACCGTCTTGAACACGGCTGATATGAACCGAACTAAACCAGTATAACGCCTTATGGGGCGACTAACGGAGCGAGCGAGAGGGTGGGCCTTGCACGTGCGAAATTGCGAGGGGGTACCTCCAACTGACTTGTGCACGGCACCCTACTAACCGGTCTCTAGCGATGTGCCAAATTTGGGCACAATCGGCCCAGCCGTTCTCGAGATCTGGAAGCGGCACCCTGCACGTGCGCACGTGCAAAATGGGTCCCAACTGACTTGTGCACGGCACCCTACTAACCGGTCCCAAACTGTGTACCAAATTTGAGCGCAATCGGTCGAGCCGTTCTCGAGATCTGGAAACGACCCCTGCACGTGCGCACGTGCAGCAGCACCCCAACTCTGGCACATGGATATGCAGTGCCTAGTGGGTGCCTACCTACATGCCAACTTTGAGCGCAATCGGCCAAGTAGTTACCGAGATATTGCAACAATTGCAAAACTGACACCTCTTCGTTTTGCACGTGGCACGTGCATAAGGGGTCACCCACATGCATCGGGAATAGTCCAATACTTGGTAGAAGGAATGAAGCTACCCTACAAAAATTACCGCATGTAAATCGGTCAAGTGGTTGCTGAGATATAAGCCTCGCAAAAGCGTCCGCACGGCCGGCCGGCCGGCCGGCCGGCCGGCCGGCCGGCCGCTCATACTCAGAAATTTCCGTTAATCTAAGGAAAGACTCCGCTCGCTTCGCTCGCTCCGTAATTAGGGTCGTGTGTACTGTGAATTGTGATGCATGTTCTTTAGCCAATTTCACATTTGTATTTCAATGGTTTGGGTTAGGCGACCATGGGGGCCAGTTTAGGTTAGGTTCTGGTGGAGATCAGGTCAAGGTCAGGTAAAAAAGGTCAAATTTCAAAGCTGACATTTTTGAATAAAAGGGTAGGTATCATGCAGCGGCTCACGAGGAATTTAATGGTGGTCTTCTTTTACGCTGCGTGGTGTAGGTCGGCTAATGATTAAGTTACAATTAGAGTAATCAATTTTGAGTAGTTTTCCCGCCATAACTTTGTCAAAAATGTAACTAGCGAGCTCAAAATTAGCATGTCGATGGGCGAACTGTAGTTCTATAATATACCTATAGGTATTCCGGTCTTTTAAAAATTTCGAAAACTTTCGTTATGTTGATGGCAATAAATGATTTTTTTTCAATTTTGGGGATTAACCCCCACCCCAAAAAAACTAAGGTTCCCGAGGTAACAGTTTTGTAGCCCCGTCAATTCTACACCTTTTTATTGCCAAACAATTTTATATATAAATGTATAGTCGTGACAGTTCTTCACGCCTTTTTATGGTAGAACATGACGTCACTCTGAAGTCTGACGTCATTTGTGGCAACTGGCAAGCCCATCCTAGCATCGAAAACGTTTATCGGCCATAATATGTAAAATTGATGTCTGGAGAGATCATGAAAGTTTGGTGACGATATCCGATATTCACAGAAAAAGAGAGGGCGGGCCGTTTCGCCCCCCCCCCAAGGTGCGCGGGCTAAGAAGGGCTGTTTTCCAGATGGTTTCAGAGAACCCCTTGGTTGGCCTCAGGGCTCGCTGTTGGCTTCAGAGCTCTCAGTCGGCTCTGGGATCTGAATGCCTGTGTTGGTCTCACAGGACGCTCGGTTGGCGGCCTCAGACGGGGCCTACTGTTGACTTCAGACTTAGGAAGGCCCTCTTTTGACCTACTCGTGCAAAGCCTTTTTAGAAGACTCTCTGTTAGCCACTTACATGGGTTCTCTGGGGATAATTATAGGGTCATCTGAGACCAACTGAGAGGCTACTGCGGTCAACTGAGGGTCGCATGAAGCCGCCAGGGATCTAATATAAAGGCCATCTGAGGCAAGGCCGTCTATAGACTGAGGGTTGTTTTTAGACCACCAGAGCTGGCACTGAGGCCATCCGCCTCCCTCAGGACCCTCTGTTGGTCTCAGAAGCCCTTACACACCGTTCCAGGCTTCTATCCTCAGGATACAGAAATCCTTCTCCTCCACTCCGCCGCCCCCTCCGGGCTGGACAGGCAGCTTTATCCCATGCGGGCTGCTCCCGAGGGAGCGCTGCACCCCGTAGCCGGGTGCAGTGAGTACTTTGGGGCTGGGTGGCCTCGGCAGTCGGCCTGTCCTCTGGACGGGCTCAGCCCCGGTGACTCAATAGGGTGCCTGCCCAGACCAATGTCTCCCCCTATATCCTATCACCCTTCCGGCTCTGCAATGGTCCCATTGGACCGAAAGGGCCTAGCCTAACCCAACAAAACAAAAACAAAAAAGAAGCCCTTACTAGTCTCGAGGGCTCTCTGAGGCCAGCATGATGGCTATCGTTTGACCTCTGAACTCAGAGGGCCCTCGCTTGGGATCAGACCAATCAGACTCAGAGTGACCTCTGCTAGTCCCCTATAGGATCCTCTAGAACGTTACGGAAACAAGGCTGAGCAAGGCCCCCTACGGAGCGAATTCTTTTATCTCAAGCGCAAGTTATGATTTCGATTTTCGCGGCTTACCTGCAAGACATGTCTGATATTGATAGGTTAAAATTTTCGTATAATCTTAGTTGCTAAAATCAAACAGTTGAATTTTCCAGCCTTTTGATTTGATCGATATATCGTGGCTATTATCATTTATCTTTGAAGCTGGGTGCTGGCACGCCACCGTCATAATAGCCGACAGCTAAAGGCGGTGAACGCACGGGGGGCATCCTGCTCAGCTGATCGCTCACGACCCGAGGGCATCGCGGAGCGTGAGGGTGGTCTGGTGTCCGCGTCGTTGTATATTTTCGGGAATACTTGCTTTCTGTGCTCGTTTTTGGTATAAAACTGTTGAAGAAGAATTCGAGGAAGCTTTTAAGTTTAGATATAAGGCTATCTGTGACCTCTTATTAGGGTGAGTTACATAAAAGAGGACTTTTGTATGTGCGTCACTTTTGCCTACCTTTTAGGTTTTAGTTCTTTTGTTTTATGTATTTTACGCTCAATTTTTTCCTGTATTTCCTGCCCCCTCAGTACATGAAAGGTTTTTAATGGGGCTTTTCAGATTTTCAACCCAGAACCTCAATTTCTGATTGTGTTATGTGGAAAAGCACATTTCATTTGGTCAAAGATGGCTGTCCTGGAGCATTTCATGAAGCAGAATGTGTGTTCCTAGTGTCAGTTGAGAGATATATTTTTGTTGAATCTGTCTTTTTTCCTTCAAAATATTTTTGTTTCTATCAATTTTTTCTTTGACTTCCTGTTTCAGGTTCTGTGTCCACAAACAGAAGGTACCAAAAGTCAATTTCAAGGTGACTGCTCGGCCAATTATATTTGACAGCTCAACTTCTCAAACTGTAAAAGTGTAAACAGAAATTAATCATTTAATAAGAGACAGCATGACTCTCTATTTCTCTGAGTTATAAAAATATGATATGGGAACAGCAATATTTGTTCATATTTCATAACTTTATTTGTATTTGTTTGAACTTTAAGGGCAGTAGTAATATTCAAGTAACAAGAACAAGACAAAAGCAGACTGCTTCCTGGTTACTCATAAGTTCATGTTTTTGTAAATTGTATCTTTCTAAGTATCAATTTTCCAGTCTCAGTTTAATATGGATGCTGCGACTTATTTATAACAGATAGTTGGCATGTAATATGTGCAGATTTTACCAATTTCAATTGTCATTCACTAAAAATCCATTGTTTTCTCCTTATCAGGAGTAGGAGTACTATTTTCTCCTTATATTTAATTTCAGGGCCAATGCAATTATATTTCCAGGGAAGTTGAGCATTTGTATTTTGTATTAATATTTTGAAAGTTACCTAGTTCTTTGATATTAATTGATTGAAATGATACCACACAATAAAACTAAAGACTGGTTGTAGATAAACCATTATGCTATTTATTTTACAACCATAACTTAATTTTTCTTGTGATTCCACTGTCAGAACTTCTGTTTGCAGTCTAACATACTTTTATTATCCTTTCGGAGCTACCTACTGTTAAACTAAAATATGGATTGCCCTGACCTGACCCTTTCTCAGAATATGAAAAGGTGCAATATATTTACTAGATATCAGGTACTTATTTAGATGGTGTGCATAATCAAGGTATTAAACAACAAACCTAATGGTAACCCAATCATGAAAGATTTTCTGAAAGGATTTTTGTTTCAATTTTTTTTTGGCACAACTGAGTTGTCTCATAATTTTATGTACCTGCATAAATGCTAGCATTTAATTGATATTTGGCTCAGCAATCTGCCTGTCTGGATTTGTTGTGTAGGTAGTGCAAGATACTATCTCAGCATTTTAACAAGGCACCCTTGGACATACATGAGTGTCTTCAGTTCATTCTTAACATTCATGCATGACAACTGGTGGAGGTACCTAGCAAATTCAGTAAGGTCTGCTCAAAGCTTCATTTCCTGTTAGACATTAAGTATGGAGCTCATTGAATTGGGCACAATACATCTTACTCAAGCATGATGTTTGAGAGCCACTAGAAATGTTGGGATGAGAGCAAAGTTTGGGGTAAAGACGTTTTATAATAATTTTGAAATTTGAAGTTGTTAAACTAGGTATTGGAAGCCAGAAATGCTCCAGTCATCATTCTTAATTCAAAGTGGGAAATGAGGCTCTGAAAGCCATGATGTGGTCAGCATGAGTGTCTCAAAACTGTCAACAAAACTAAATGGACCAGGTTCTTAAGACTCCAAGCTGATAGTGTGACAGGTGATAAAAAGACCTTTTGAACAAACATTTTTCAGTAAGCCCCTCAGGTGTAAACTTGTAGGAAAATGATGCAACGCCAGGTTGAAATGTTTCACAATAACCAAGGTGATAAAGCTGGCAGCTAAAAGGATGATGTGTGCCTATTCCAATTTTGAGATCCTGTTTCCCTGAAATTCACAGATCAATTAGCTTTTGTGTCAAAACTCCTATGCCTAGGTTCCCTTGTGAACATTGGAGAAGTATGGGGAGGTAATTATGAGTGGTGCTCACTGATCAGTGCTAAGGATTTATGGTGATTTATAATTTTATGTGACAGGTGATGAATGCTCAGTATTTGATGGATCTGCATTTGTTATCCCAGGAACAGACTGTGGATGTCATTTACCAGGCATGTCAGCGATATTCGGCGAAAGTATCGCCGAATATCACACCATATCAGCCCTTTCCACCTTCCTCTACTTGAAAACGGCAACTGATGCTAGTCAAAGCAAGTGGTTATCAGCGACGAATTTCGGCTGAGTCTAACTTTGGGAACAACATATCATTGAGAAGTCAAAAGTGTGATGCAATATTTCCAATGAAGGGCGGGAAAAGTCACAAATTTTAACGTTCCTGGCTCAGACTGGTTTTTAGTAAGAACAGAAAGAAGATACAAGGGGGCCAAATCCCCACGCCCCTCATTGGTACTTAGGTACAGTGAAGTTTTGGAGTCAGGCGACGCTATCCAAAAGTGTCAGAAAGTCGATCGATTACGCTATCTCTTATGTTTACGACCAGTGAGCTATTTGTCTTGTTTCGTAAATCAATTCGACTTAGACTATTTCCGTTAAACTTGATTAATTAACAGTTCTATGAGGTATATTATTTTGAGGATGTTTCAAATACCTCCTGCGGACTTTGTCGCTTGTTGCTGCTAAGTCGTTATTATGCATATTTGGCTGAGGGATGGTACTGAAACGGCGCTGCTCCATGACCTCATGCGGTGGTGGTCACGTGAACAGCCTGTCCTAATCCAATGGGCAAAATATCACTCAAAATCCAGCCATAAAATCGATTCCAGCCTCGCCCGTTGCCATAGCTATCAGGATGGTTCACGACAGACTGTCGTGGGTCACCAGATACCCCCCGGTGGGAGCATAGCCCGGTCGGGCCGCACCCCGCACGGGTACACTATTGATCTAGCGCCGCGCGCGATGCGATACCATTCCGCTGTTGCGTAAGAACTGCGTCGGGAGATGCGACCGCTCGTTCTCTGACTACCATTGACGGAGGTTTTGTGAAGTATCGATAGCAGCGTGGTTCAAGAAAGATGGCGTCGCGGAAAACAAGGACGGTACGACGAGCATTGGATGTGACAGTATGAGTCGAACACAAGATTGCTCGGTGACAAGAGTTTCGTCTTTCTTCTTTTTATGGGATATGGATGATGTGGTCAAACATGAGAACAGATTTAAAGAACAGGGCATCTTTCATCTTTAAACCGCGCCCCATTTAGGTCTGCGTATAACACGACCTGCAGGGGGGGGGGGGGGGAGGGAGGATATTCATAGCCCCACCTCCTAACTCCGAAACTACCGGGCCGATCGTCAAAATTCAAACGGCGTCTGACAGCTCCGGAAAAACTGTCGAGCAGAACCTTATTTCATTGACCTCGAGGTCACCGATGACGTCACAAGTCAGGGCAAAGTAAAAATTATCGATATTTGCTTTTCACATTTTGGGCTCTGGCTGCCGTCTTACAAGTCAGACCAGGCTCAGTTTTTGTTTACACACTCGTGAACAGATGCTTTAGATACCCTGAGGGTACCAAGCTTGTACTTTGATTTTCAGGTCAGGGTCAGATCATCACAGGTCACGGAAATCTTATATCATGCATCGGTCACGTGACACATGTTTTATGGTCCATTTAGGCCATATATTTCGAATTCGATATCGTTTGTACTTTATGTCATTCGAGGTCATTTTGAGTTGAATTTAGCTTAGGTCAGGCCACTTTCAGATAAAAAAGGTCAAATTTTAAAATTGAAATTTTTAACCAAAAACGTGTCTATCGGATGCAGTTTGAGCTCGGAACACGACGGTGCTATTTATATCGGTGTACTATTTCAAATGCCTACTGAAAAATTGATTTGAAAAATGTATAATTGTGAAATTTTTGCTTTAATGCGTATAACTTGGCCAATTTTGAAGCTATCTGGCTAAAACTTGCTAGAGTAAGTCATAACCATGTGTTCTATCAAATATATTCCGTTTTTTTTTTTTCCGAAAAGTCAATGACAAAATAAACAATATAAATTTTTAATTTTAATTACGGGCGAGCGAGCGCAGCGAGCGAAGCGAGTCTTTTTACGAGCGAGCGAGCGCAGCGAGCGAAGTGAGTCTTTTCAATATAACGGAAAAATCTCAGTATGAGCGGCCCGGCCCGGCCCGGCCCGGCCCGGCCCGGCCTGTAACGCTTTTGAGAGGCTTATATCTCAGCAACCGCTGGACCGATTGGCCTGCGGTCTTTTTTGTTGGGTAGCCCCATCCCTTCTACCCCGTAATTGACTACTTTTGATACATCTCAGTGACCGTCGTGGCACGTGCCACGTGAAAAGTCAAGGGTGTTCAAGCTGTTTTGCAAAAGTAGTGATTTTGAGAGGCTCATATCTCAACAGCCGCTTGGGCGATTGACTTGCGGTAATTTTTATAGGGTAGCAGCATCCCTTCTACCCAAAATAGGATACTCTCGATGCATGTGGGTCACCCCTAGTGCACGTGCAAAATACAACAATAGGAGGTGCCAAATTTGTTCCCATTTCAGTAACTCGGTAATTACTGGGGCGATTTTGCTGAAACTTGGCATACAGGTAGGCACCCACCAGGCAATGCATTCCCATGTGTTGCGGTTAGGGTGCTACTGCACGTGCGCACGTGCAGGGGGCGTTTCCAGATCTCGAGAACGGCTGGGCCGATTGCGCTCAAATTTGGTACACGGTTGGGGACCAGTTAGTAGGGTGCCGTGCAAAAGTCATTTTGGACCCCGTTTGCACGTGCGCACGTGCAGAATGCCGCTTCCAGATCTCAGGAACGGCTGGGCCGATTGCGTTCAAATTTGGCACACCGCTAGCGACCAGTTAGAAGGGTGCTTTGCGCAAGCCCGTTGGAAGCACCCTCTCGCCCTTCCGCACGTGCAGGGCTCACTATCTCGCTCGCTCGTCCTTCGCCCAAAAGGCGTTTTACTGGTTACGGAGCGAGCGAAGCGAGCGTAGTCTTTCCTTAGATTAACGGAAATTTCTGAGTATGAGCGGCCGGCCGGCCGGCCGGCCGTGGTCACGCTTTTGCGAGGCTTATATCTCAGCAACCACTTGACCGATTTACACGCGGTAATTTTTGTAGGGTAGCTTCATTCCTTCTACCAAGTATTGGACTATTCCCGATGCATGTGGGTGACCCCTTATGCACGTGCCACGTGCAAAACGAAGAGGTGTCACTTTTGTAATTGTTGCAATATCTCCGTAACTACTTGGCCGATTGCGTTGAAAGTTGGCATGTAGGTAGGCACCCACTAGGCATTGCATATCCATGTGCCAGAGTTGGGGTGCTGCTGCACGTGCGCACGTGCAGGGGTCGATTCTAGATCTCGAGAACGGCTGGACCGATGGCGCTCAAATTTGGTACATGGTTAGGGACCGGTTAGAAGGGTGCCGTGCAAAAGTCAGTTGGGACCCATTTTGCACGTGCGCACGTGCAGGGTGCCGCTTCCAGATCTCGAGAACGGCTGGGCCGATTGTGCTCAAATTCGGCACATCGCTAGAGACCGGTTAGTAGGGTGCCGTGCACAAGTCAACTGGAGGTACCCCCTCGAAATTTCGCACGTGCAAGGCTCACCCTCTCGCTCGCTCCGTTAGTCGCCCCAAAAGGCGTTATACTGGTTAACCCATTTACGCCCTTCGTTGCGTTTTCGCAACACAAGCAAGCGTCGACGTGATCAAATCTTGAGAAGTGTATAATGGCGTCTCACCGATGAGACAAGTTTCAGCGCGTTTAGCATGGTTGCGCGCATGATGCTACGCACTTACAAGTCTGTGCGGCCGGTAACTTACCGTCCAGAGCTCCCAGAGGGAAGTCGTAGGTCCCGTCAGTGATGACGTCACGAAAACCAAAATAAGTAGATTAAGTGATTAATTATATCGTAATGAATAATGTGTGAACATATTCTGCAGAGTCCCTACAATAGCTAGAATATGCATTTTATTAACAAATTCTGCTGCAAATAGGGTTTGTGACTATTTTCAAATATGATTACAGTCGTGTTGCGGTAACGCAACGTTGGGCACATCGGAAAGACAGGGGTGTTGCGAAAACGCAACGAGGGGCAAATTGGCAGGGCAGCGGAAGTATAGGAACATCAAATAGACTTCACTTGTGATACGTTGTGGGTTCTTTCCTTCTCTCCCCAATCTTCCTCCCTCTCTTCCACGCTCCCCCAACTCTCTCTCCTTCCCTCCCTCCCTCCCTCCCTCTCTCTCTCTCTCTCTCTCTCTCTCTCTCTCTCTTTCTCTCTCTCTCTCTCTCTCTCTCTCTCTCTCTCTCTCTCTCTCTCTCTCTCTCTCTCTCTCTCTCTCTCTCTCTCTCTCTCTCTCTCTCTCTCTCCCCCCTCTCGTTCTGTAGTCGTGAGGGATGTTTAGGTACGTAAAGTGCAAGGTGCATTTGCACGTGAATGTTGCGACACGTTTCACATTAACTCACTTAAACAGCTATCAAACACTCATTTCTTTTTCCCTCGCAGATTATCGGGCTGTTCACTAAGCAATTGGTTTTCGAGCATCTGAAAATCGCATGGTAGGAAAAGGACCTGCATCAAACGGTCGGCGATGCTAACGGAGCTGAGAGATAGCGAGGTACTTTGAAAATTGGATCTACTTTGTACTAAATAATGGGGACGTAGTCTGGTATCAGACGACAGATAGGCAAGGCATTGTCATTCTTTGGATACAATCCGCTGGCCCTTACGTTAGAAAAGATAACTCCCAGAGTCGGCAAATGTGGGATATGCCCCCTCGGGGGGGGGGGGGGGCAACAGACTCCTTCGGCAGGGATGATGAGGGCGTCTGGAAAATAATAGTTTATTTTTAGAATTCATGGTTTGCACGGATTGATAAGGTGGTTGATGTGAAGCATTGCTTGTTTGTTTACTGAGGGTAGGCCTTTTGTCTAATTAGACCATTTTAGAGCTGGAAGCATTATTGGAATAACGGAAAACATTGGTCTGAGCGGGCATGGTGAATCGTCGAGGCTGAGCCCATCCATCCAGGCACCCGTGAACCAGCCCCCCCCCCCCTCCCAAGCACTTTCTGTATCCGGCTACAGACCTGTGCTCCTATGTGAGCTGCTCGAATGCGATATAGTTGCCCGTCCAGCTCAAAACAGGGGTTGAGGCATGAAGGAGAAGGATTCTACTATCCTGAAGATGGAAAGGACGGATTGACGGAACACTTGGAAACTGTGAACTGCGTCGAATCACCAGTCTGCCCTGGCATTGTCTCGAGAAAGAGGTTACAAGTGTGAAGGTCGCTGAGAGTGGGACAATGAAAATTTTGGATTAGGTGTGAAAGTGATAAATGGGTCCTGGGAGACACTTCAAGCCGAGTTGTTATGACGCGCTACGCCTTACGCGGGTAATTTGTGAAAGCCGGATAGGTTCATTTTTTGCTAAGAGTGGGCACGGTATGTCGGTTCCGCATTCTCAAGCAATAGTTTTCAACAGTTCGTGAAATATATGTTAAAACAAACTAGCATATACGGCGGTTTAGTGTACTTTATGTCCGTCTGATGTGCCCGTCGTTGCGTTTTCGCAACGCTGATGGCGCCCGGTGTGCCCTTCGTTGCGATTTCGCAACGCACGTTTTTTACGTTTTTCTCGAAAAACTTTTGCTGCCGGCAAAAATTATTTTCGATTCCATGCAAGGCCCTGGTAGAAGCGTAACATATGTTGATTTCATCGATTTTCATGATGGTCAATATTCCTGGGCATAAATGGGTTAATATAACGGAAAAATCTCAGTATGAGCGGCCCGGCCCGGCCCGGCCTGTAACGCTTTTGAGAGGCTTATATCTCAGCAACCGCTGGACCGATTGGCCTGCGGTCTTTTTTGTTGGGTAGCCCCATTTCTTCTACCCCGTAATTGACTACTTTGGATACATCTCAGTGACTGTCGTGGCACGTGCCACGGGAAAAGTCAAGGGTGTTCAAGCTGTTTTGCAAAAGTAGTGATTTTGAGAGGCTCATATCTCAGCAGCCGCTCGGGCGATTGACTTGTGGTAATTTTTGTAGGGTAGCAGCATCCCTTCTACCAAAAATAGGATACTCTCGATGCATGTGGGTCACCCCCGTGCACGTGCAAAATACAACAATAAGAGGTGTCAAATTTGTTCCCGTTTTAATAACTCGGTAATTACTGGGGCGATTTCGCTGAAACTTGGCATACAGGTAGGCACCCACCAGGCAATGCATTCCGATGTGTTGCGGTTAAGGTGCTACTGCACGTGCGCACGTGCAGGGGGCGCTTCCAGATCTCGAGAACGGCTGGGCCGATTGCGCTCAAATTTGGTACACGGTTGGGGACCAGTTAGTAGGGTGCCGTGCAAAAGTCAGTTTGGACCCCGTTTGCACGTGCGCACGTGCAGAATGCCGCTTCCAGATCTCAGGAACGGCTGGGCCGATTGCGTTCAAATTTGGTACACCGCTAGCGACCGGTTAGAAGGGTGCTTTGCGTTATCCCGTTGGAAGTACCCTCTCGCCCTTCCGCACGTGCAGCCTGCAGGGCTCACTATCTCGCTCGCTCGTTCTTCGCCCAAAAGGCGTTTTACTGGTATATATCATTTCCAAAATTTTAAAAATTTTGAAAATCCGAGATGGCAGTTGGATAGCGCAGACTATTCTGAGTCCTCTCATGTAAAGAAATTGGATCTAGCTTAAAAACTGAGCTCTTGGGAGCGATTGCCGTGGTTCAATGTTTTGCCTCGCAATCGGCCGGACATGACGTCACTCTGACGTCATTTCTGGCCGACCTATGGTAGCTACGAAGTTCATATTTTGACACAAGGTGTCAAATTGATGCAGCCGAAGGTACCAAAGTTTGGCGACGATACGTCAAGCGGTTTAGAAGTTATTGCAGAAAAACGAGAGGGGGCTATGAATAGCCCCCCCCCCCCCCAGCGGGGCGCGGGTTAACTTCATTCCTTTTGTTATTTAAACGTGTGGCTCATATTCTATCCATCACTTGCCTGATTGCAGCAAAATTTTACCGAGCGCTGAATCGAAACGCCTCATTTTTTTTCTGAGACCACCCGCCGTCTCTGACGACGCGACCCTCTCTCTCAGTCTCCCTGTTGACTCCCTTTTAGGACCACCACCCACGTCCTCCACCGCTGTTTCTGCGTGCCCCCTGTGACTCTCCCTGTATGTCGACAGTGCCCCAGCGGCCGCGTGGCATGCCGGCCCCGCCAGTTCGCGGTTCGAATGGCCGACCCCGATAGCGCGGACGGCGGCGCAGACGACTGCATCGCGCGCCGGCTGCGCTCCTCGAGCCGACAGCAGCGACACAGGTCCACTGAAGGCGGCTCCGGTCAGTGAGGGGAGGGGGTAGGGGAACAGGGGTACAGTCCGTGAGGGAGAGGGGGCAGGGAACAGGGGTACGGTCAGTGAGGGAGAGGGGCAGGGAACAGGGGTACGGTCAGTGAGGGAAGGGGGTAGGGGAACGGGGTACATACAGTCAGTGAGAGGGAAGGGGTGCGGGTAATGGGGAAAGGTCGGAGGAGGAAGGGCGCCGGTCAATATGGGAGGGTGCACTGGTGGGGGTCTGGTCAGAGCTTGAAGAGTGACAGGGGCCCGGTAAACACGGGAAGAGGGACAAGGGTTCATTAGGACCGGTTGAGGGCAGGGGGCAGGGATCCGGTCAGTGCTGGGTGTGGATCAGGGGTACAGTCAGTGCGGGAGGGAGACATGGATCCGGTCAGTACCAGTTGGGACACGGTGCAAGAGTAGGATCGTCACGGAGAGGTATGGTATAGGTATAATTAGGTATTGGGTTGGGTCCAGGGAATAGGTCTTATCTTATGAGTACGGGCACGGACAGGGTCGCGGTCAGTATTTGGCAGGATATGTCGGCGAGAGGATCGGCCGTATTTTTGACGAAATAAGTGATTGAAAGTTTGAACGGTTGAGTGGTCCATGGTGTTTTACCTTTCCTTATGTTTGGATTTACGAGCCACTGCAATATCTCATTCGAAAACTGCATTAATTTCTGTTTTTCGAGCACATTCTGAAGTACAGATAAGAACTTTTTGTTGTTATACTGGACCACATCGCTTACGTGCTCTTCATGCCCATTAACTTTCCACGTTTCTCCTTTCTCCTTGCCTCTCATTCCTTTGTTCCACCCTGTTACTTTATTTCTATGCCTGCTACTCTGACCGTAGATGGTGCTGCCCTCAGACGCCGGCGGCTCGAAGCGTAGTTTGTCGGTCGATCACCAGAGCGGCGCCACTGAGCGGACCAGACGGGCGTCACGCAGTCCGTCGACTCAAGGGCGGGCCGAGAAAAGACGTCGCGTGAGCACGCCCACCGAGAGGCCGCAAGAGGCCAAGAAGCGTCACCGTAAGTCCGACCGAATGTGTTGTGCCTGTGCGGCGTGTTTGTGTGTTTTTGAGCATGAACTGCTGTCTGATTATTGTACCATGCCTGATAAACCCAGTGCAAACTTGCTATTTCAGTGTCCTTGTAGGAGAGTCTGCATTCGTTTTATATGCTTCGGAATAAGTAATACCTTCTGTAGCTCTTGTGCTGTACCGTATGGAGGCATTGGCTGCAGATCTCCCGGCTGATTCAGTATCTGAGCTCGTCTCGTTGGCTGGGTGCCGGTCTCGGTGACCGCTCTCTGCGCGGAGGGTGACCACCGCTATCCATTTCTGCCTGCAGGAGGCAGCAGCGGCGGCAGCCGAAAGACCGTGTCTCGGTCTCCGGAGCCGTCTACCAGCGGTCAGCAGCCGCAGCAGCAGCAGCAGCGGGCGGCCAGCAGCCGACACCGCCAGCTGGAGCCGTCGGCGGCGGCAGGCCCGGCCGCCCCCGCCCCCGCCCCCGCCCGCACCGGCAGAGGTCAGTCGCGCACCCGCACGGCCCACCCGTCACCCTTTGTTCCCGTGTCTGCGTCCACCCGAGACGGCGACCCTGTTTGTCGGCTGTTGACTGGTCCTTGAGTGTTGAGAGTGGCTGTTGGGGGTCGTTCGGTCTGTTGCTGACTAGGGTTATGTGTGCCCCAATGCTGTTTTTAACTGTGGACGGTGTTGTCCCGCAGACGTAGTGGGCGTTTGAGCCTCACAAATCCCGATTGTTCCGGTGGTGTAGGCTAGGAGGTCGTTCAGTGAGTTGGGAAGACGAGAGGGTCATTTTGTGTCGCAACAAAGACCAAGACAGAAACAGAACAAACTTCTCAGGGATATTAATCTGTTCCTCACTTTGTGTTTTGTCTGTTTTGTCAGAGGGGCAAGTAAAGGGAAGGGTAACCTCAGGTCAGGCCACTCCGATCATTCCTCGGCTACACCTGCTTAAACATTGATTTATATGTTTTGAGAATTGTTGAATGTGCTTCTTTTAACCCGCGACCTGGTGGGGGTGGGGGCTATTTTTTGCCCCCCCCCCCTCCAGACTTTTCGATATATCTCCAGAACCGCTGCGCCGATCGTCACCAAACTTTCAGTACCCTCCCGGACATCAATTTTACATATGGTGACCAAAAATTTTTCCAAAGGCTATGATAGGTTGGCCGGAAATGACGTCAGAGTGACGTCATGTTCTGCCGTTTTCGACCCAAAAAGGGTTTCGCGGGAAGGGCTGTCAGGCCTATAGCTTTGCAAAGACAGAAAAATGATAAGGACATAAAAGCTGTAGAATTGACAGGGCTACAAAACTGCTATCTCGGATTTTTGAAAGTTTTGGATTTTGACCCCCAAAAATCAAAAAATAGTTTTTTTTTTAATATAATGATAGAAAAATCTATAAAGTTTTTTGAATTTCGCAAAAACCGGAATATATTTGATAGTCCTTACCGCCTTCCATCCACATACCAAATTTGAGATTGATACCTCTTTTTTTGGCGAAGTTATAGCGAAAAAACTTCAAAATTGATGACGTCAAATTTTCAAACTCAATTGTTAGCAATTCTAGTCCCCGTAGCGCAAAACAAAGACCACCATTAGACTCCCCGTGACGAGCTGCATCGAATCAACACCCATTTTATGCAAAACTATCAACTTTAAAATTTGACCTTTTTTGGCCTGACCTTGTCCTTACTTTGACCTGAACTTCACCAGAAAGTGACCTAAGCCGTACCTGATAGTCTTATAACCAACACCATTGAGTTGGATATGAAAAATTGGCCATAAAACATGCATCACACAACCTTAGTAAAGTTGGGCTCATGTGACCTGACCTGTGACCCTTGGTGACCTGACCTGTGACGTGACCTGGTATTGTCAGTGACCTCTAATAGCAACATATCTACTAGGCAACTGACGCCCTATCGCTGATTCTCGACAAAATGCGTTTTCCTCGGTGTTTAGCGCATTCCCTAGAAGACCCGTGAACGGTGAAACATTTCATCTTTGACCTGACCTTTGACGTCATCGGTGACCCCGAGGTCAATGAAATTTGTTTTCCTTCGACAAATTTGACAGGCCTTTCGAACGCCGTTTGAATTTTGCGGATCCGTCCAGTAGTTTCGGAGATACGAGGGGGGGGGGGCAAAAAATACCCCCCCCCCCCACCAGGTCGCGTTATGAACAGACCCCACCAGGGCGCGGGTTAACCAGACTAACTCGATATGCTTTTTGTTGATAAAGAACCATATGAATGGATACGTACTAATTTATCGCACACTGATTCGGGACATGTCGCCCCTCCCACGCTGAATTAAGCTCACTAGCGTCACCTTCACTAGCGTCTGTCGCCTCCGGGCCATTCGTCCACCATCCGGGGGCTTCCTTCCGGGCACACCGAGCGACATCGCTGTTAGGACGACTGTGCGGCTTCTCTCTGACTTGTTCGTCGTTCACTGACGGAACTGTGGCACAGAATGCCGCTTTTGAATTTGTGCCGTGGACGAAGCACTGAAAGTGTTTTCACTGACGGATTTTTTTTTTTTTTTTGTTGGGTTCAGGGTTGTATACCAATCAAGTCGATTGAATTGATTGATTTGATTCAACGCGTATTTTGAGTTGATTGGATTGAGTCGATTGACTTTTCGAGATGACTGGTTGACTGACTCGTTTGACTTTAGCGACTGGTTGACTGATTTGATTCCCGAAAATTAGAGTGACTCGTATGATTGAGTCGATTGAATGGAAAGTTCAAATAAGTTTTAGTTGACGAAAAATAATGACACCAATTGATGACATCAAAGATCACAAAACTACACTGAAAACTGCTTGTCATCACAACTGCAATATGGGGTAGATGGCCAAATAAAGAACAGGGCCTAAACATGAACAGCCAACTTTGACTTTCAACTGCAATAACTGCTCCAATCCTGGTGATAGAACCTGGCGATGCACCTACCTACCTTTCTGCACTCAGCAGGAAACGTTTTTTTTAAATCCAGATGATAAAGTGCAAGGCCCTATATACTAATAAAGTGTGATTAATTAATAATTCACATCTCCACATCTCAGAAACAACCCACTGAACTCTATAAATATCTGAAACCCCTACAAAAATAACTGAAACAAAAGCGCCGTTTTCGTCTCGCCAAATTTGCTGCATTTGTTTAATTTGCAGCAGAACGTTTGTTGATCCTTTTCTCCTGAGAACCTAAGCATAACATATTTAATATATTTCATTTTCCTTAAAATATTTTACCGAATATTATAAAGTGGTTTTATTTCAAATGAAATAATAATTAAAACGAAATTGGTGTTGTACGACCTATTTATTTTATGATAATCTACATCTACCATACTATATGATTATCAATGACGTCATCTCACCAAAAAATCAAAAGATGTAGAATAAGGATTTATAAAAGCTTAGCATACTTGTTGGCAAAACGTTTTCTTTGTTTTTTTTTTTTTCGCAGTCTCACCGTGCCGTTTTCGCGTTTTAATTTTCTCCTTGTTCCTACTTCCTTTGTCCTTAACTTATCCTGTGGTTCCAGAGTCCCTGTCCTCTCCATTTCCTTTTAAATATATTTTTAATCCTCATCCCTTTCCCCCAGTCCTAACAGTTTCAAATTGTATTGCAATAAAATGTTTTGAATTCTTCACATATAACCTATATACCTTCGTTGGTACTGTTGGTAGCCAGTGACACATCTAGGCAGGTAAGTAGGTACCTACCTGCTTTCCTGCTGTCTTCATAAAGCATACCTAATGAAGTTGTGAAATTTGTAGCACATTTTCAACACTTTCATATGGTGTCAGTGTGGCATGAAACCTAGCTAGGTTCATTATGTTTAGGGTTCATTTCAGAAGAGCTCCGCATAACTCACATAAGAGACAGACAGGGGCTTTACATGGGGTAGATGGCCTGATGACTTAGCTGGAATATGGCCAAAATTAAATTGACAACTTTTAGGTGAAAGGTGGTGATTTGGGTTAAGGGGCGAGTCAACTACCGGGTTATTTTGCACCAATTTAATGAAACATAGACCTCTACATACCATGTAGAGGTCTATGTAGAGGTATGTAGAGGTCTATGAATGAAACTTCTGCTCCAATTCTACCCATTGAACCTCAATATCATGATCCACCTGTCCATCACTAGGTATCCTTCCTTATTACATAGAATCTTTGAATGGTATGGCAATTTATAATTTTAAATGACAATATTTTTATGTTTCTTCTGTAGGTAGGTAGGTAGGTAGGTACACCAGACTGCTATGGACACTTTTCCAAGTTGGTGGGGCAAAAAACCTAATGTATGTCTTGGTTTGAGTCGTTTGATTGAGTTGATTGATTCCTTTCATTTTCGCGTTTGAGTCGATTGAATCAATTCCCGAAAACTACTCTGACTTGATTGATTTGATTGGTTTCCCAAATTTGTCGTGATTGAATTGATTGCTATTGATTGAGTCGTATACAACCCTGGTTGGGTTAGGCCCTTTCGGTCGACAAGACCATTGCAGAGCCGGAAGGATGATAGGAATTAGGGGGAGACATTGGTCTGGGCAGGCACCCTAGTGAGTCGCCGGGGCTGAGCCCGTCCAAAGACAGGCCACCCAGCCCCAAGGCACTCACTGCACCCGGCTACGGGGTGCGCTCCCTCGGGAGCAGCGGTGCCGCTCCAAGGGAGCAGCCCGCATGAGATAAAGTTGCCTGTCCAGCCCGGAAGGGGGTTGCGGTGTGGAGGAGAAGGATTTCAGTATCCTGAGGATAGAAGCACGGATAGGTGACTCTGACGGAGAGTGACATGACTGACCTTGTGGCGCTACGGGGACAATGTATCAAATTTTGATGACCGGGTATTTGCTGGACTAAATTTGTTTTCTGTGTGTTTGATAAATGTCTGGGTGTTTTTTGCTTTTTATGATGCAATCTTAATTCCATAGCCGACATTAAAAAAGATCTTAATTTCTATTTTGTATCTCTTTTCTTCATCTACTTGGTATTTCTAACGATCCATCATTGCTCAACAGTATAAAGTATCTTATCATCCTGTCTGGCGTATACCGTCAATGGGCGGTAGTATGGATGAGTGAGCTATGAGACGGGTTTCATTCATCTCCGGCCGTAGCATCGTTCCAATTTCGAACGTCTCCACTCTGGAGGCAAATACCGGGTCCAGGATGTGTTGTATGTTATGTAATGTGAGCTCTGGTAAATTTGCTGCACTATACGAGTCTTGCTTCACTGATCAATATCATCGATGGATGTAGTTATTAAAACGTGATGGCTTAACAGTGCATGCGCATTAATGTGAACGATGTTTGCTTAATCGATGGACAAAAACATACTGATTAGAGCAATATAAGTCTGCCTCAAAAGTAACACTGGGCGTAAATTGAACGTTCACAGATAGTGCAATTTCTCGAGGTCAGAAGGTCGAAGGTCTCTGAAGTGAACTGGTGTTCGTCAGTTAGTTCCACCTCGGAAGCATGCGTCTAGGCAGCCAATGATAACAGAGTGTTGTCGCTCAGAACTCTTGGATGGGGCCCATACTCTTTCTTTTCCCTGTATCTTTTCCCAGCATCATTTTTTTTTTCACGTGGTTGAGATGATGGTCAGTGGTCACTATGTGACTATCTTTGTCATTGTTTAACTCAGGCAATAGTCCGTCATATTTACGTCAGCCTGAATGACATTTCCATTTGTGTGGTCTGAACTTCAAGTAGCTACTAAATAAAACATCGTCGACAGTGACCAGAACGAGGCGTCCGGTCCGGTGCTCGCCGTCAAAACTTTAACTCTGCGTGCCCTTGGTGTGGCCGCGCTGCACCTGAATAAACCCGGCCGACATTTCAACACAGCAGTTCAACGGAACAACAGATGGAAACACTTCAGTGAAATCAGTGTTTATATGCTGTCTGCTTCAGCGTCATGCGTCTTACGTGGACCAAGACCGTCGCGAGCGATGGTCGTTGAAAGGGAAGATCATTCCATTAGCATATTCCTGATGGTAGAGTCCCATCTGAGGTCACTCTCACACCTCACCGTTCCTGTCCCTGAGTGGCCGGACCGAATGGACGGTTACAGAACGGTCCAGTCAGGCCGACGCGTCGTATTTGGCAGCTGTGCCGGCCCGAGGGGCTATTCTGGTCGGTCGGACGGCGACTCGGCTCCCTGCCGGCCTTTACCCCTTCCCCCGGCCGAGCGGAGCGCCCTCTGCCCGAGCCGCCGCCGGCCGGGCCACCGTGCCATGTGCGCAGCGAGCCGGCCGTGTCACCGACCCGGCCGGCGACCTGCTGCACGTATCGACCCCGCGCAGACGGCTCAAGGTCGCCTGCTGTCCGCCCCGTGACGGCCGCCGACCGCCCTTATTGCCGCTGATTGCAGGCGGAGCGCGTGTATGACAGGGCTCGTCAGGTCAGATCGGACGGACGCGGCGGCCAATGACCTGGACGTGGACGTGCTCGGACGGCCGTGCTCGCGGCGTGCTCTGTGGGGCGGACGGGGTGCCGACCCTCTGTCTCTGGGCTCGCAGAGAGTGGGAGGTGTGGTGGGGACTGACTGACGTGCCAGGGCTAGCGGTAAAGGTTGTGCGTTACAGAGAAAAGGCGACACTGAAACTAGGGCAACGCGCGGCGGGGCTGGTGAATATGCTAGTTATATGCGAATTACTGGTTTATGATGGTCTTGGTCGCGAATTGGTCCCAGCATTCATCAATAAACAACAGGGGACCAAGCCACCTGTTGATGCACCAGTATTTCAGCGGTATCTTTTTCCGTGCTCCTGAAGCTGACAATGCACTGCTTGCTATGAGATGACGACTGCGATTTTCCGTCAACTATAGTTCGGATCCGTTTGTATAAAGTCAGTTACGACATATTTCTGCATGGAAGTGTTGGTTAGGTGACCGGTTCGTTGCTACAGCAAACTCGGCCATATTTCTTCAGCAGCAGTACGGCTTTTTTCGTGGTCTTGCTCATACAAGTGTATGATAAGAGATCAATATATCATTGACGACATGCATACATATCCTGAATGATTGATATTTATGACGGAGAAAATGTCGAAGTAAGCCGCCAATCGGTTACGATATAACCACAAATTTGTTTGGGTGCTATGCATTTTTCTGCCTTCTTAATACCGTATCTACGCACGTCTTCTGTCGTGATGTGGGGGCTGCTCAGTCTGGTTGTTAGGAGATAGTCAAGCTAGTGTGGTATGTGCGAGGGTGTGGTGGTTTGTGTATTGATCGTTTGTGTATGCTGTAAGTATTGTTTGTATTCTTGAGATATAACCAAATCGAAGTCATTGGGTTTATCAGAGGCAGTTGCTATCGCCTTGGTCGAGTATTATGAATGAGTGTTTGTAATGCCCATAATCATACATGTGTGGAAGTCCAAGTGACTGAAAGTGACTGACGATGTAGCCCGCGGCCACCCCGGTATCTGAGCACTCCCCCCCCCCCCCAATTCCAGCGCCAGTATCAGGCGTGTCCGGGTGTCCGGGGAGGGGGGTCAGACCCCTCCCTGTCGGAGTGTTTGCTCGCTCGGTGCGGACCGCCCAGTCGCCTATCTCTGATAAGGCCGTCGGACCGTCCCCCCACCGACCCGCTCCCTGGACCGGCGTGCGTGTGTGGCTGTCCATTCCTTGATCCGCCGCCGCTGGCAACGCTGCTGGTGGTGCTGTGAGAGACTGTGAGAAGGGACAGTGTCTGTGCTGGTGGCTTTGTGCGAGAGGTGGCGGTGACTGTGCCGGTGGTATTTTCGAGGCTGAGATCGCGTCTCGGGCTGGTGCTGTGACGCGCTACTCAGTGTAGGACAGTGCGGGAAGTGGGGGGAGTGCTTAGATACCAAGCTAACCTCTGGAAAACGCAGTAGTGTGAGACAGTCGGCATTGGAAGTGCTATAGAGTGTGATGTGACGTTTTAGTGCCTCTTGAGCGGCCCGATACAGCCGTCGCGTTATCAGGTTGGTGAGTAATTGTGTGAAGAATAAACTGAAGATGTTTCAATGCCAACCCAATCTCACAGTGACGGAACACTATTCACGATTAATGACTGGTTCATAGTGGCTCTCTCTAGTAAGTCAGTCCATGCCCTTGATCCCGACGCATATGAGCACTGCAACTTGCGGCATTTCTGTCTTCGCTTCGTAGGTGTCTTCGCTAGCTCATGGGTGTCTTTAAGTATTTATCCCTGAACCACTCTGTGACCCTTATGAGCTGGCTATGATCCGTACATGACCTGCCCATGATGCTGTGGCCTGCTTATGACCCGTGTCTAACCCGCGTGTGCCCCCCGTGCGCCTGCAGGCCGTTCGCCGGGCCAGCCGTCTCGGCGCCAGCGCTCGGCCGACAGGGGCGGACCGTCGCCAGGAGGGCCGGTGGCCGGCGGTGCACAGCCAGCCTCCAACACGGGGTCCTGTACCAGCAGCAGGTCAGTCCAGAGACCCGCACATAGTGCGACAGGTCCGACACTAGCGATTTTCACGACGGCTATTTGGTACACATTTGGTACACATTTGGTTGACATTTGGTGCATATTTTGTCAAATTAGGTTCATTGTGTTTCTTAGAAGTTGTCACCTTGGGCTGCACAGTTGCGTATAGTATATACCTCTTTTTCATTGGTTTAAACACTGAACTAAATTCATAGTATGAAAACACTAAGTAAAAAAAAAAAAAAAAACACTTTGGTGCAGACTTTATCAAGTTTGATCCATTCGCCAGGGACCCGTCGTGAAAACGGCTATTGTCCACCCTGGCGGATTAGAGCTACCATCGACTGTTACATGGACAATTATGACTGGGTTGGTAGCCTGGACTGCATCGGTGTCCACCAGCGCTCGGGCCCCGGTCCATGGGCGGCGCGGTTCTTGGAGCTTGTTAGCCGGTCGGTTCCCGTGTGTCAGGCGGACGGACGGACCGCTGTATTCGGTCCGTGTGTCAAGCGGGCGGTCCGCCGCTGTGACAGGGCAGATTTGGAGGTAATATCTCGGTTGACCGCCCACCCCGTCTGTGTGTGGTCCCGTATGAAGGTGACGGCCGTACGACAGACCCCGCTCCCTCGGATGATGGGTGTGGCGGCCGGGTCTTTCTGAGCCGTCACTAAATGCGTGCCTGTGCAATCTCTGATGGTGTTTATATAGTTTTCAAAGGCTTCCACTGTGCTTTAGGAGGTATGCAGGTCCTGCATTGCGTCAGAGGATCGTCGTTTGGAAGTGCCTTGAACGCTGAGTGTTGCTGGCCGCTGTGAAGTGGAAGTAACACAGCGTAGTTTGCCAATGCGAGTGGCCCTTTGGACGAGTTGAGGCCGGGCGATGTTTGGGCCGACCAGAGGAGCGTGTTTGTAATATTTATCACAGCGGCGCTCCGTGGACTTTCCCCGTCCCGCTGGTCTTTGTCCGAAAGGCGGAACAGTCGGATAGAGACAGGGGATGGTAGAGCTCGGTTCGGTTCTAGATCCTGTCTTGGAGTCGTCTTTACACTGCTCCCGCTGTTGTTGGATAAGCCGACTCCTCTACTGAAGACGCAGTAGTTATTACGGTCCTGGAGGATTGCACTGGAAGGCCTCAATGGCGTCCCGTTCGTTCACCGGAGTACTCTGCTGTCCGGGTCAATACCAACATGCGACGGACGTCTCAGCCAGTTTCTCGCAATGCGCTTTCCAGGAGCAATTCTCGATCAGTGTATGCCTCGTCAGCGCATAGGCTGAACGCTGGGCGTGCTACAGACATCCGGTTCCGTGCAATGGACGACAATAGCTCTGTCGGCTGTGTTCTTAGAGCTCGCAGTATTGCGTACGAGCCGTGAGCGCTGTTCAGCCGCCGTGGGCGTCGCGTTATGAGAGGCCTGTTACCCTCTGCTCCGCTATCAGTTCGTATTAACTGTTGATCTTTGGTCAGAGACCTTAACTGATCAGGACTTCGATTGGCGAAACACAAACATGCACTCACACCTTGTTTGTTTTGCTCATAGCAGTTGTGAAATCACGCACATGCATGCCTGCCAATATGCAGGCTATCACGCGTGCATTACCATTTGTGCTTACTTCATGTACATATACTAGGTTTGTTTATGAACAGCCTTATGTAGATTTGCCACTTCTGCATTGCACTTTGGTATCACCACGATGATAGAACTTATTGTTTGATAAGCGTGTGGTGACGGCCATTTATCGGCATTGCTAGCTGTGCGCTCATCTGAGCGACTGAAAATGGTCACTTTAGTAGACCCGCTTAGCGACGCCTGGACGGATTTTGGCCGGTTCCGTATGGATTTTTACTGGACGGATGTAATGCATAAATTGTGCCCTGAACGACTCGGTTCGCGGAAGAGGCAATATCCGAGCGGACCGAGCCTGGAGGCCGAGTTGGAGTCGCGGCCTCATCACGCCTTTTGGTCAGCGGTCGGAGATTCGGCTCGGCCAGGAAACTGGACGGCTCGACGCTGTGATGGGCGCCCTGCAGCGGTATCAGCCGATATCACCGCGTTCGGGCGATATCGCAGTGTTCACCGGCAGTATTGGACGATGTCCGTCATATGTGCTCGCCGGCAGTGCCGGGGGGTTCGGTGCTGTCCGACAGTAAGTGAAGTCAATGTCCGTGCTCGCCGGCAGAATGAAATATCTGTACTCGCCGGCAGTATGTGGCGGTCTTGCTGCTCACCGGCAGTATGTAAGTCCGTGCCCACTGCTCGCTGGCAGTATGTAGCGAGGTCCTTGCTCGTTGGCGGTTTGTGGCAGCATCCGTGCACTCCGACATTTTGTAACAAATGTCTGTGCTAACAGGCAGCCTGTGACGACGTCCCTGCTACTCGGCAGTATCGTTCGGCGGCGGATTTTGCCGTGGCAGCCTGATCTGGTCGGTGTGCGCTGGTCATATCTGGTCTGAGAGCGTTTGATGGAGGCCTGCCGGCCACCGCTGAGTGATTGGGGGGAGGGGATGAATCGCCCTACGCCCTCCGGTACCGATGGGTCGTGCAATTTAGGTGATCATTGCGCGGAAACCGACTATCCAATTTTCGTCGTATCCTGCCGAGTGAAATAGAGCACATTGCATGCGTTCGACCTTGAGTTGTGCTGATCATTGGTACCGTATGCCGTATGGTCTTGCCACGTTAATATTGTTCCTACTCCTAGCTCAGACACGACACCACCCAGTCCAGTCACAGTGATCTCATGACGTCATTCACTCGGTGACGTCATTCACCCGGTACGTCTGCACCAGTCCAATGTCGTCACCACGTCAGTACCGGATGGGCAGCCTGAGCATGACCAAACTGAACCAAAGGTCCGGCCCACTGGTCCATTGACCGTCACGTCGTTGGTTATTCAATTACAATATGCATTGCACAATGCACATCCCTCAGTCTACATGCACGGACGGACGTCCACGTCGTGTCACCGTGAGCGATGCGGCTGTCTGTGCCGGTCGTCCCTGACCTCAGAGCTGCTGTCACGGCTGTATGTACTGCCGGCTGTAATACGCCCCCCCCCCCCCCTCCCCGGCCCGAGGATCGATTCATGTATCGTCCCCGCTCTATGGAGTGCACCGTGAGCCGACGGCCGGTTTGGTAGAGACTCGTGGGCCCTGTTAGTGGTGACGGTGGTATCTCGAGACTACAGTGGAAGGCTGGCGGCGGTGCAGTGGGGCGATGGGGTTCAGCGGGGCAATGGGGAGGGATGCCGGGGATGGGAAGTGGGGGAGCGGCTGTTGGATTTCCATGAGTCTATTCCTGATGGGTAGTTATGTATTTAGTTATATCCAATGCTAGCTGAGCTGGAGATGTAGGTCGTACAGTTTGTTTGGCGTGGGGTAAAAGTTTCTGCATCGTTTTTCGTAAATGAGTTGCGGAAAGACTTGCGGAACGCCGTGGACTGCGGAGGGTAGGGGTGCACGGTATCTGATAGGCTCGTCACGAACTTTGGTCGTGCGTCCTGGATGAATGCTGCTTGTAATGGACATGGGTTCGAAGTGTGCAAGATAAGAGTTCAGACGTTATGACAGCGCCCGATATATACCAGATGGCATATGGTGTCTGTTCGGGTCCCCTGGTGGCGTCTTTGTTCCCAAATCTCAGCATCGCCATATCAGCTGGCATGCTAAGGTCACATGTATCGCATTGCTATTTAAGGTGCAGAGCGTGCCTTATTTACATTGATTTATTGAGCCCAACCTCAAGGCGAAGCTGCTCCGTCGGGAACGCTCACCCCTATCACCAAGGCGGTTGTGTCGTCATTCTATGACTACCCCAGCTGTGTCATGGCGGGTCGCCGTCTGTCCTTGGCGTGGACCAGGTGGCAGGCCGGGAGTCTTCCTAGCCGCGTCATCACACCTGGACAATGTCTGTGGTCTCTGTGACCCGCGGACGACGGCAAACACGGCCCGGCGGTGGCTCAACTGTGACTCAGTATCGGCGACGACTTCCCGTTCTTTGACCCACGGCTGTGAGTGTCCTGCGCAGTGTGGGGCCTCCGGACACCAGTCCGTTAGAGTGTGATAAGAAGTGGCGTCACAGCACACTGGTATTGTGGACTCCAGGCCTGGCAGTCATGGGGTACTGCGGAACAAGTCATGGGGCACTGCCCGTCCCGTGGCGTCTCGTGCCCTCCCTCGGCTCGTGCCAGTTTCCACGTGGCGACCTGTGGCGTGGTGCTCTGCCACGGGTTACGGGTTCGACTGGCCACGGTTTGTGTGGTCGTTCGGGTTCGACCGGCCCAGCTTTGTGTGTCCGCGCGGAGTCGACTGCCCGTGGTTTGTGTGGTGGCGCGGGTTCGACTGACCGTGGTGTGTGTGGTGGCGCGGGTTTGACCGGCTGTGGTTTGTCCAAGTACAGCGTCACGTCCCGGCCTTGAACCCCGGCCGAGCTGCAGCCGCCGCGCCGCGGCAATGCCAGACTCGCGGAGACAGAGAATGAGCAAAAACCCGGCTCCGGGCCGCACCGACCGACGTGCACTGCAGTCAATAGTTGCAGACTGGCTGACGCTAACGAAAGATCTCTGATTCAGCGACTCCAGCGATATTGCCGAAAGATCACACACAGTGCCTTTGATCCCAGGGGAGGGTGTTTTTAGGCTGGGTGGCTGGTTATTGTCAATGTGTTCACCTCGGGTGCAGAACTGATGTCAGCTATTTGAGTACACGTTGCGTCATTGGCTGCATTTTAGCAGGGCTCTTCTACGCCGTAAGGTTTGAACTTACGATACTAGCGTGCCCTTCTGCGCCGTGAGACGTGGGTGATATGTTGGCTATAGGCGATGCTCCGCACCGTAGGCTATATGACAGGGCGGAGGGGGGTGGGGGGGGGGGGGGTGGAGAGGAGGACAGGGACGCGAACAGCCGGTGGTCACTGAGCCACCATCTCCCTATAATACGGAATGCTCGTCACTGCTAATCTGATAATAGATCATTAGAATGTTGGTTGAGTTGTATGCCGG